AAACAAACTTTGACATTTAATTTTCAAAATATGTACCGCTAAAAAGTGACCAAAATTCTTTTAGAAAAGTCAAATCAGAAAATTTAAATGCATTAGCAGAAATGCTTTTACATTTCAAAGTCAAAACTGCATTTTTGACTCAAATAAAAATAGAAATCAGTCATTCAAACTTTGCTTCCATTTTCATCTTCAACACTGCCCATTGTGTGACACAACTACAAAGAAAAGAAAGAGGAAATTGCTTTTTCGTTTTCATATCCTGCCCCTGCAAAACATGTAACAAAATTAAAATGACTTCTCAATCATAGAGGTACATAAAAACACTAGTGAAGTGTCTGGCACCCTCACACGGCGGCAGCGGGGATGACTTACCTAGCCTTTATATAAAAGGTCTATATTCACAACCCCAAAGCAGGGGAGTGACGTCACGGCCACGGGCAAGGCACTGTGTATTTCTTCCCCGCAGGAGACGAAGGCGTGAGGATTATATTTAGAGACTGCGGGGAAACATGTCCAAATCTGTACCAGAGCTGCTAAGAGGAGCTGCAGCTGCCCTGGAACGGCAACAAAATCAACCGCATCAGCTTTGAACTCGCTTCTTGTCTCCCACCACGCCAGCAACGCCGGCCTCAGCTCCAGAGTATCTAACCCTCGAGGTAAGATTTCAAGCTAGCAAGCTAAGCTGACACGCAAGTAGTTTAGTTTTTATTGTTGTAAACATGTAAGTTGTATATCAGATTTAACATACGCCACAGCAGAAGATGTGCGACTTGTCCTTGGTGGTGATAAAATGCACCRGCTCTCACACAATGACTTGTTTCCCCTCATTATTTTACATTACGTTACAATTATTAACATCCAAAATGCACAGAGTCCGTGTTTATGGTTGCGCTGTATTTTAGCGAGAGCGATTCATAAGTGTCGCATTCACGAAGATCTATCTTATTTTAAGATTCCGTGATATCTTAAAATAAGATTACGTAATAGGATTACGTCATATTTTATATATATTATATTTCTAAAAGCACCTCGCAGCATTTCCCCCTGTAACGATGTGTTCACGAGCAGAACAAAGCCGCGACAGATCAGCTGACTGGTTTTAAAGCGAGGAGCAGTTTGACAGCAGCTGCTGCACGTACATGTCCACCTGTCCACCTGTCCACCTCTCCACGCGCAGCGTGGCTCTGACCTGCCCGGGACGTCATACATGTCAACCCTTCAGACGGTTACTTGTATAATGAGCATCAAATATCTGTCATTTGCGCAAAAAATCTGTATTAATCTCACGCGGATGGAGCGGACCGCAGTGAGTGAGGAGGAGGAGGAGGAGGAGGAGGAGGAGGAGGGGGTGGGGTGCGTCTCTTAAAGACGTGTCTACATTTGATTTATTTATTTCTAAAATCACATTTCTCTGAGTCAGCTTCAGGTGCTTATAGTTAATCATAATATCTTCTAAATTTAACCAGGCATTTACATTACACAATGGTTTTTAACGAAGCTGAAGTTAGCTTCCGATTCCAGCTTCCGATTAGGGAAACGACTAAAGGGATATTACAAATAATTTTTCACTACCTTGCCCATGTTTAACCTGCTCTAGCTCAAAAACTACAACACCTACACTCTTCAAATCTGGACTAGATTATTCTACACTAATAGAAGAATATTTAAAAACACTTTTGGGATTTGGGAAAGCATTGTCTGACTTGTAAAACTTCAACAAAGTTGGTTTTTCATCTTTCATCTTTCGCTTCACTGGAAACTCGACTCTCTCCGCGGTACACATCGCTTGGACAGCACACCGCTTCCAAAGCAGAGGGGCGGGAGACAGAGAAGTGGGTGAAGAATTTGTCNTTTTTTTTCTTCCCCTGTGCAGAATGGACAACCAAAGTGGAAGATCATGGCCTGAGGTAGGTTGACGACATAATCTTCCTCATTTTTGCTAGTGTATTTTGTCAGAGCGTGTATGTCTGTCGCATTTTGGTTTGTTATTTCAAATATGTGCATAAATGAAATGGTCTATCAATACATTTTACGCCTTTTGCTGTGTGATCACATTCATTAGTTTTCATCTAATTACTATTACAGTATGACCAGCAAAGTGCAACTGAAGCAGCTCATCACTTTATGGCCTTACTCAACAGAACAGTGCCTCAACCTACTAGAGAGGGTCAGAACTCAAGAATGGAGAGACCAAGTGTTGAGTCAGAGATGGCCAGGTAGAAAAGCAAACACTTGTAAAAGGGGCAGTTTAGCTGCATTTACTTTTCTACAATGGATTTGATTTTGAAAGCTGATTTCTCAGGAGTTCTATGTGATTGTGGAATCTGGCTGTGTTGACTTCGATTGATTAACTTAATTGTGGTTTTGTATGTGTTTAATATGGTGCATTAAAATATCAGAAGTTCCATCATTATCCTGTATTTCTSTACCTGGATTAGTGGAAGTGGTGTCTGTATAAAATTAGCAAAGCAATGTAAAACACCTAAATTTACTTTTTTCTGTTCAAGCTTTAAACTGATCCTTTTAGGTATTCTATGAATTTGTAAAGATCATTTTAATTTAGCTTTTTAAATTTTTTTTTTGCTAGTCCGCTGCATTAGGCAGCACTTCAGCTGTTTATAACTATACATTCTAAGTAGATTTTGACCTTGGGGATATCATCTTTATTTACATTTGACATATGGGCAAAAGCATTGGAGGTGTCCTTTGTTTTTTGCTGTCTGGTACATCATTTGCCTGTCATCCAGAACTTTCAGGATTTCCACGATACTCATGATGTCGTCCCTGACAATAACAAGCTGTTGCCTGTTTTTATTGCACACCAGTATTTTTTTCTCTAGCAGTTTTGTGCATGTTGTCTTTGACATTTGTTTTTGATTTACTATTTTGTTTTATTATTATTAGTGTATTATTATTTCACTATGTCTTACAAGAAAAATGCATTTAACTTTTGTAATTAGTATTGATCTGGTTTTTCTTTTATTGCAGAAGTTTCAATTTTGTTTTTGTTCTTGAAAATCTACAGGTCATTCCCTG